CCGTCTGGCACTTGAGAGGGTCATCCTAAAAAGAGACAGACTATCGGATGGCGTAGTAAACACAATCCAGGCTGCCAGACGGCCCTCAACGACCCGCATTTACGAGGCTTCATGGCGGGCATTCTGCCGCTGGTGCTCTCAGCACCACGAGGACCCAACATCGGCTACGGTCCAGAGCATCCTCGAATTCCTGCAGTCAGGACTGGAGAAAGGGCTGGCGCCAGCGACCCTAAGGCGCCAGACAGCGGCGCTATCCACGGTCATCGCATCACCTCCCTACCAAGCGCTGTCACATCACCCACGCATCAGGGGATTCCTTCACGGCGCCAAGAACCTGCGCCCCCCCACAGTGCACCGGTACCCGTCCTGGGACCTCCCGCTGGTTCTCCGGGCCCTAACGGCCCCCCCGTTTGGGCCCCTGAGCTCAGTGTCCCTAAAACACCTATCGTTCAAGGTGGCCTTCCTACTGGCAGTCACCTCAGCCAGAAGAGTCTCGGAGCTAGCAGCACTCTCAATCCGGAAGGACCTCTGCATCTTCAGGGACACCACGGTGGTCCTCCGACTGGATCCAACCTTCATCCCCAAGGTGAATTCCTGGTTCCACCGCGCCCAGGAACTCATTCTACCAGACTTCTGCCCCTGCCCCCACAACAGCAGAGAACAACAATGGCACTCCCTTGATGTCCGCCACACCCTTCGCATCTACATTGACAGGACAGCGGCCTTCCGTCACATGGAGGCGCTCCTAGTGTCCTTCAACCCGGCCTCCATGGGATTGAAAATTTCAGCATCCACGGTGAGCAGATGGATTAAGGCCTGCATCGCGTTGGCGTACGACCTGAACACTAAACCTCTTCCGGGAAGGATTCTCCCACACTCCACATGCAGCGCGGCCACAACGGCGGCCTGGACAACACAGGCGTTGGTGGCAGATATTTGCAGAGCAGCAACCTGGTCATCAGTGACGCCCTTCATCCGCCACTATAAGATAGACGCCTACAGCTCCGCAGAAGCATCCTTCGGCCGTAGGGTGCTGCAGGCGGTGGTGACAGAGGAGGACTCTGGAGGCACTCAGCTTCCCGCCCATGGGGTTTAAACTTGGGTATATCCCATTAATGGATAGTGGGAGCAGCGCACAGGAAAATGGACGTTGTCTTACCTGAACGTCCCTTTTCTGGGCGCTGCGTACACTATCCATACCCTCCCCTTTCTTTTCGTTGGCTTCTGCCCAGTAGAGTTTGTTGGTGTTTACAGATGTTTTTCATTAAAGTTATGTTGATTACCTGACACGGTGTGGTCTCCCATAACTTCGTTCAGACTGGGGATCATGGGATTGAGGGGCGTGGCAGGGCAACAGGAAAGGGAATTTGAGCTCTCACTCAGTTATTGCCAAAGGCTGAAGAAGTTAACCCATTAATGGATAGTGTACGCAGCGCCCAGAAAAGGGACGTTCAGGTAAGACAACGTCCATTCTATGAATGTAGTATAATTTGTTTTGTGAGCTGCAGAGAATTTTTTTTTTCCACCATAAAATATATTGCAGATGTTCTGGAGGATAATATGGTAAGACACTTAAGTCTGAATGCAAACTGAAATGGACTTCATCTGTATAGATGAAAGAATGTCTACTAATATAAGAGAACTTTCTGGCCCATACATCCACCCTTTTCTCCTACAGAGTTCTGAATAATGTTTGCAAAATCTTCTCTGGAAATTACACCAATTCTCTGAAGCAACCCAGATGAATTGGAATAAATAGACTTGAACAATCCAATTAATAAACTATTAAATAATAAACTATTAATAAACTATTAATTAATAAACTATTAAATAATATCTACCGGTAATGTACTGAAATGGTTGTACTGACAGAACTACACAAGTCTTTCTGGACTGAGATTGCACTTGATTTGGGAGATTTGGACTCCAAAACATCAGGGGGACAAATACATGCAACCCCAATATATTATTTAAATGTGAGGAGTGTTCATTCATTTTACATGTCATTTTACAGCTATTTTGATTTTATCTACTGTAGGTAGGCAGATGGGGAACTAAAGTACACCCTAGGAGTTAATTTATCAATAACATAGATAATCATAGCTTGCAAACAATCAGATTTAACATTTCAAAAAATTCTGCCGTAACATAAATGAAAAATATACATGAAAATAATACAACAGGTAGGTTAAAATGTAAAACTAAAACTGCATACAAAATAGCTTTATGAATTGTCATTCATGAACTTTGGAAAGGAGTCCCAAAGCCTAGATCTTGTTCTCTAAAATGTTGTAGTCTCAACCTAAATGAGATTTTTTCTGGAGCTATTCAAAACAATCTGATTTCCTTGAAGATGCTACTAACCAGTAGATTTGAATGGGAGAACAGGGTCTGGCCTGAACCTAAAGCATTCAGGGCCTTAATTATCAGCAGCAATTTAAATTGAAATGAAACAACTAGGAAGCCATGCAGTTGTTGAAATAAGGTTAAATTTCCTATATACAGCCAGGCTGATACAGAAATTTAATTTTCTAAAAATACATTTGTTAAAGAAGGCATATATTACTCTTGCCATATTAGTAGGCAGAGTTATCCTGCCCTGCTCTATTGCACAAACTGAGTTTGACCATAGCCAAGTTCTAAACAAATAGATTCAAGAACTCCCAAACTCTACACTTTCATTTCAATATCTCATCTAAGTGATACCTTGATTTTAGATCAGTGCTATTGGATAATTGTACTTCTGATTAGTCAAGATTCAGATTTGCTGTTCAAGATTTCATGTTGCTGTTCAGACTAAAACCACTGTCATTTTCTAGCAACAGTTTAAATCCAGAAGAGTCTCCTTGAATGGGATGGAAAGTAGAGATTGGCAAGTAGCATTCATGGTTTGAAGTGCTTAATTCTGAAACCCTGAATCACTTTTCCCACTCCATGTGGCTTGTGTGTTCAAGATGCATGTTAAAACACAGGACTTTTTCAATGGTAGCGTCTAACTTTGGAACTTTTTGGTAATGCTTGTTGGATCTTGTATGTGTGTGTTTCTTTTTGACAGAGTTGAATACTTTTACATGTTCCGGGAACTTTTAGAGACTTTAGCATTGTGTGTTAGCTATCCATGGCATATTTTGAAAGCTGTGCTGCTTCTTTAAGGAAAATGGTTTTTATTCCAATTTTAAACAATTGTTAACTTATCCGAGAACTTTTGGGATGATCAGGGTAAAAATTCAATATTAAAAGAATGTTCTCCTTGAAGATAATAATCTTTCTTTTTACTGCTGGAAATAATAAGTAAGAACTGTATATCCAGAATTACTGTAGGCTCACACAGCGTTTTCTTTAAGGAGGCCAGCACATTAGCCATTTCTTTTAAAGATGTCCTTTTGGCAAAATTCCACAAACCAGTAAAAACAGTGGTGTTTTGTAAGGGGGGCATATATAAGGATTTAAGATAAGTTAAAGACAATGATTTTTTAAAATTCCAAATGCCAAAAACATGTTAAAAGATTTTTTTCATTTCATTTATTATAATCATCAGTGTTACATATTCAGTATAGTTATTATCATCTAAATACCAGTCCTTTAAAATTAGCATTCCAAGTGGGTTCATAGACTCAGTTGTATACACAAATTACTCACTTTTTCAAAACTGGTAATAAATTTAATGTAACCTATTTCTATGAGAGTGTAAGTCTAAATATTTGAATGTATTAATGATAAAGTGAAGTTTTTCAAGCAATAACTTTCTCAACACATCTGTCTTAATCACAGTCTTGTCTATACAAGTTAGAATTGTGTAAATTTAGCAGACGATTGTAAACTATATCAGTAGTTGTATCACAAAATTAGCTTAATTTGGGCAGAATTTTTTTTTAATGTCAACTGTCTTCATTGCTAGCAATTTGGCTGAATTTATATTGTCCTGTTTGTATTATTTGATTGCCACAGCTAGAAAATAGTTTAGGTCTATTGCTTTCATCTTTATGGAACATTAAAAATTTAATGTCTCTGTATATGTTACTTCTTTTTTTCAATTTAAGAGCTGCTGTAGTAAATTTATTTACCACTTTTTTAAGCATTGCAATAAAATGTATTTTTTGAATCTCCTTCGGTTATGTTCATCATCTCAATTTTTTTTTTTATTTCTACTATAATTTATTAACATTGTCATGTCTTAACCACTTATTCCATTTATAGTGCTCAGGGGCAGGTGATGATATTTAAAACAAAAACAGATAAAAGTCAATATAATTATTGCATCATTTACATGTGTATTCATCCAGCCATCAATTAGCTCAAGCTTGTGAATGTTTTACACTCTTCCCTTTATTTGTATCTCACCGGATTCAATCAGTGTTATCCCCACAAGAATCTCCTGATATTGGTCCAAAGTCACTAAATGGCAAAGTGGGGGCTATATCTAAAGTTACTAAATATATGTAACACTGCCTGTAAAATTAGATACTCTGACTTTTCAACAATTGTAACATTCTTACTCTGTTTTGCTATCTAAGTTTAACATGTGTTATTTTGAACTCTGGTCTATGACTGTAATAAGCACTATTTTATCTCTCATTCTCCCCCCCCCCCTTTATGTATAATTACTCCTGTTTTGTATAACCACTATGTATTGATCATTATAGGCACTTCAAAAAGGGATCATAGATATTGGGGAATGGTCAGGATGATACAATACAGAGGCTGTCTTTTAAATCCAAATTGATTTGTGACATAAGTACTATGTCACAAATGACATTGAGCTGATGATCAATGCCATTTTTGTAAGATAGGTGCAGTTCCCTTTATGTAACAGTATGCTTCAGTTCATAGTGGATTGGTTGACCGTGGTTGAGGGTTTAAAATACAATCAAGAATTCTTGTTTTAAAGGTATACACGTCTTTAGACAACATATCTGAATTGTACATTGCTGGCATCATTTGGGATTCCCATAATAATAAAAAAAAACCTCATGAAGTTCTTTGTGTTCTTTTTTACATAGGGAAACAGAAACAGCTGGAGGCGGAACACCAAGAGATATATGTGGAAGCTGACCACAACCTTCACTTGTCCACAAGCCGGTCAGTGCAGCCCCCAACTGAGAAGCCTGGCGAGAGAAGAATGGCTGAAATGAGAAAGCTCTATGGCAAAGGTGCCAACAAAATACAAGCAATGGAGACCACCATGCAACTCAACTTTGATAGGAATTGTGATACAAAACAGCCCAAATACTGGCCAATTATTTCTCTAAAACTCTGAGTAAGCGCCTCTTTTCTTTTTGGGAGATTCAGAGTTGTATATCCTGATGTTCAACCAAATAGAAGGATTAAGGGAATGAATCAAGAGTCAGCAAAAGACCTTTTTAATTTTCCTTTCCCCTTTCCAACACAACTTTGAATTTGTCTGCCAATTTCCAGAGTCTATTCCAACTCAACAGGAAAAGCTGAATCAGTCATTTGTACAAGGGATAAGGAAAATTCCCTTTTAAAGGGTATTTCAACTAATTTAATCTTGGCATGTGTTAGCCTTGCAGGAAATGAAGTAACATTTATTTTTGTTCAATTGGGCTAGGGAAAAGGCTAAAAACTATCAAAATTCAAAGCATTTGTTAAAATTGCTTTTAGTGCTACACATGTTTTGCTGTAGGATTTTAAATGCAGCTGTTTTTTTGCAAAAACATTTATTTTCTTGGAGGCACCTGTATTAATTGGACAAAATAGCTTAAATTACTGTAATTTTGCTTTTTGAGATTGGGTTGAGCTGTATGTAGAGAAAGTTTCTCTTCCAAAATGAAAAGTTCGGCTCTAGGGTTTCAAGTCAGAAGCAGGCATTGTCTGCTTTCACAGAAGTAACAGAACAAAAAACCCCAATCAGATTAAAATACACTTTTTTTTTTTATTTTGAAGTTGTATTTAACCGATCAGGAAGAAAAATAAACTAGACGTGGGGGTGGGGTGGGGAAGGAAAGAGATTATATATGTGTGCATGTGATTCTCATCATGAATATAGTGGAATTCTAATCAAGCCACATTCATTTCCCCTCCATGGCTACTGACTTTTCTCTCTTGTCTTACTTAGCTGTAGCATCTCAAAATCCATTTTTAAAAAGGTGGTTCAAAACTAACATTCCTGTTAACTGAGAAAGAGGCAGTCATACATATGCATAAATAAATTTACTGGCTGATATTTCTGTCTTGTGTGAATATATGTTAGAAGTTTTGTGGTTTTCAGGATAATCCTTTCCTTGAACCAGTACCTCCATAGAGGTATTGGTTTTTATGCTAGATCTGATTAATTGAAATAAGATATTTGCATCCTTGCCATTCAGATGCTCCTAATTGGTACAATATCTCCATTCAAAGATCTTCCTTAAAATGCATATTTATTTCCTTGCAAAATTAGCAGCTATATTAATAAAGAGCTTATATTTTATCTCATCCATTTCTACATTCAGAATAGAAGTTCTATACATAGTACATTTTGAGAACGTGCCATGATCTCTTTTCCAAGTTTAAGTTTTATTTTGTGGGGAAAAAAAATCAGTTTTATTCAAAATTTACTTGCACAGATGGCCTTTGCTTTTCATGTGTATTTTTCTCTGCAAGTGTTTCTATCATACTTTTGTACTAAATTGACAAGGTACATTGCTCAACTATTTCAGCTATTTTGAAAAGGGCTGTTGTTTCATGGGTATTTGCAGGTAAAAGATAATGGTGTTTTTTTTTTTTTTAATAATGACTTGAAGCTTACAAAAGACAGTTTGTGGGATGGCCTCTTCTCAGTGATAATCTGTCCATCCCAGACACTCCCATTAGAGTAGCTTTGTAATTAAATGCGGCCCAGGAGCTATGCCTATTCTGTTGGAAGGCCTGCTCTCTGCAAAGATTGCCTCAATGGGCCTTCCAAAAGGCAGAAAAAACTTGGCTTTTTGCTTGGATCTTAAGACCAGCATGATTGGAATTCCCATCTGGAATGTCAGCTTCTGGTTATTCTTAAACATCTTGGTTCTTAATTGAAATTGTTTATCTTATTTTCTTTGTATATCACTTGGAGTCACTGTGTTTGAGTTGGACAGCCATATGGATTGTTTTAATAAACCAATAAAGATTTCCAATACAATTGTTTGGATGAATTATTGTAGAGCAATTTGCACAATAAAATGTGCATTTGGAAGTACCATTAGAATGGTTCTCAGAAAGCCTTGTTCTGTTATTTAGTAAAAAATCAAAATGGTGTCTGCTTTAAAAAAATAAAAGCCACTTTCCTTTTTTTGTTCACTGAGGGCTGCTGTCAAATCTATTGAATTATTTTCAGAAAGTATGCTCTTTAACAGTACATAATAGCTTGTTTTTTAAACAGGTTTGTTAATTAATCTTTCTTGAAAGGGCTGCAGTTAAAGTATGATTGTATTAAAATATATTTTTAACTCAGTTTATTTGAAAATATTCAGAGTTTGAAAGCCAAACTAAGTATCTTTTCAGACAATAAAATTTTATTAAAACACTTTATATTTTGTCAGTTACCCTATAACATCTTTCACTCCTGTGCATCTGATGAAGAGAATTGTAACTACCAAATTCTTTTAAGTTTGAAAAGTAAAGAAAATTGCAATCCTATGTCTCTTCAATCAGAAATTAATAAAGAATTTTAGGTTGTGAGTATAGATGCAGTCGAACTCATACTTATGCCCATTGCAAAAATATTTGGGGAGAATGAGAGAGAAGTGCAAGTATATTGAAAATCAAAACCAATTAAGACCATATTTACCTAATGATTTTAGCCTATTTGGGAGATATAAATTAGGGGTTTAGTTTCAGATATAGTAAATTGGCATTTTCTGCTTAGTTCTACTTGTTTGCATGAAGCAGAGTACTGTATATTCAGCTTGTTGTCTATTCATTTAACCAACAAATGTGAGTTAAGACGGTGACAGAGATGGGTTTCAGCAGGTTCTGACCAGTTCTGGAGAACCGGTAGCGGAAATTTTGAGTAGTTTGGAGAACCGGTAGTAAAAATTCTGACTGGCCCCACCCCCATCTCTTCTCTGTCTCCCAAGTCCCATCTGATCGGGAGGAAATGGGGATTTTGCAGTAACCTTCCCCTGCCACACCCACCAAGCCATGCCATGGCCACCAAGCCACACCCACAGAACCGGTAGTAAAAAATTTTAAAACCCACCACTGGACGGTGAGTGAACATGGTTGTAATTCATGGCTGAGTTTTTTCATACTCGACTTCAGCTCAAGCCTTCTCCACAGTTCAACATGATAAAAAAAAAAAAAGACAATATAATTTGCTAGTGGATACTACAAAATTGGCACATCTCTCAATCAAACGTACTGTAACTGCATTTGTCAATTGCTTTCCTGTTTTATAGACATAAGAATGAATAAGGAGAATAAAGGAGAGGTAGAAACTCAAACCTTCTGAACATTGACATTCAGATAATCACACTGACAGGACAATATAATACACAATAGTTTCACATAATGACCTGCTGGAATCAATACTTGTACTTGAGTGAGCAATTTTTCATTTTCCATGCTCCAGCTGATCAGCACAGGTAGTAGTCGCCAATTGTTACATAGGAGTGTGTATTATGGAATTTTGGGTTAGAATTGCAGAACTTGCTTAGTGGGACCAAATGGCAGAAGGCAACTTCAGATAATTCTTTGTGGGGTTCTTGTGGGCAGAAAACCACCTCAACAAAGGCAGGACAAACTGCACAGCACATCAGCTTCTCCCTCAGCATCACTTTGCTTCTACTGGTTTATGACTTAATCTGATGCCGGAAAGAAAGATGCCCCATATCTTGTCAGCTAAAATATATAGTCAATCCCTAAGGCACTGTTTTCAAGAGAGTGGCACTCTGCTGCAAACCTAGTCAAAGACCTTTTACCAGCAAAGGATTGAGAAAAGCCACTGGGTGAAACAGCCAGCCTTTTTAAATCAACAATGAATTGGCTTAAGAGACTGGGTATGGCCAAGGCAGCCTTGGATCAACTGAAGCAGTCCTAGGCTACAGTAACAGGGACAGAATCAAGATCATGTGAAATGTTAGAACCAGTGGTGGGTTCCTCCCGGTTCGGCCCGGTTCAGGCAATCCGGTAGCAGTGACGATATGACGTCACTGAACCAGTTCTGTTTGTTCGGGAGCTCGGCCCTCCTGCCCACCCCCGCATTATTTTTACCTTTTATTTGGCCCCGCCCCCAATCTATTCGCTGCCTCCTGAGTCCCAGCTGATAGGCTAGAAGGAAAAAAACTGTTTAAACTCTTGCCGCAGGGCATCAAAGGGGCGCCCTACAGCTGATCAGTGTTAAAAGGTAGTGTGGTGGTAGACCAGTGTGCTCGAAAAACAAATGGGTAGACCGGTGGCTCCAAAAACAAATGGATAGACTAGTGCCTCCAAAAACAAATGGGTAGACAGGAACACTCCAAGAACAAATGGGTAGACTGGTACAGCTCTGCAAGCAGTTAAAAGCCTAGTAGACCAGTACCTCTGCTAAATTCTAAAGAATTGTCATATGACCATCAAAACATGCCCACAAAATAAGCCACGCCCACAGAACCAGTAGTAAAAAAATTTAGAACTCTTCCCTGGTTAGAACCACTTTATAATGCTTTGGTAAAACCACACTTGGAATACTGCATTCAGTTTTTGTCACCAGGAAAAAAAAAAGGCGTTGAGACTAGAAAAGAGTGCAGAGAAGAGCAACATTTAGGCTCATTTGTAAATCAGTGGACATAGTCTGACTTTGCCTTTTTCAGGATGGTATTCTTCATAGGCATTTATAGACAACAAGGCCCCAAAGGAATTAAAATGAATGTGGAAGATACTATCTTAGAAAAGTGGTTGTAATTTTTAAATGAAGCATAGTTTCCCTTTTAGTAACTCTAGATTCACACTATAGCCCTCAGCAATTATGTTGCTATTTCTATCCAAATGTTACTCACCCTCAAATTCCAAAAATACTTAGCCTACAGACTGGTTCAGTTCTATCTTCAAAAGAAAGAAAAGGCTGCGGCAATGGAAAGACCATATAGCACACAGTACTCATTTCAGGAAGGATTTTTTTCCCTTTTGCTCAGTGGAAGGAATGCAATCTCTGCTAAGCCAAAACAAAAGATTGTGTCATTTAATTTGCATGCACAAAGTCAAAATATGAATGAGTTTGCAGCTGCTCTTTAGGTTTATATATCCAGTTTAATCAATTCTGAAATACTATAGTGAACTAGTGTTCACAGTGAGATGCTGAGTCAGCTTTCTGTTCTAGTAGATTACATTTTCTATATACCAATGTCTCCCTTTTTCTCTTGATATTTTGAAATAATTCTAATCCTAAATTTGCAGTTGAAATATTAGTCTTTGACAATTCACAAAAGCAACAGAGACTAGCGGGGGTGGGGTAAGAGATTAGAAAGGAATTGAATGGCATGAAGTAAATCTTTTCACTATCTTCTTTCAAAATGAAACAAGTCTCATCACTATCTCTTAATAGGTCTCAATTAGCTGGGAGAAGATTCAATTTGTTTGAAGATTGTTTGCCTGCACTGGGTTGGTCACATTAATATTTTCTCTCTAACTAGCATTTAATTTAGGAAAGACCTACAAATCTGAGTTTTCTGGTAACATGGCTAGAAAAATTGAGTTTGCAGTTACTTCATTTTTTCTCAACCAAACACATGAGAGAAAGACAAAGAATAGTTTATGCTCTAGAGGTTCTCTTTTCAGAGAATTTATTTATTTATTTATTATATTTCTATACCGCCTTTCTCCCATAGGAATCAAAGCGGTGTACAGTCAAGAAAAATATAGATACACAAACATCATAAAATTGCTAATTAAAATTATTACTTAGTTTGGTAAATTAAATAAAACCCAGAATTAGATAACATTTTAAAAATCATTCACATGTTCATATGTTTAGCCCCGCCTGTTGGAACATCAGGGTCTTGAGGGCACGGCGGAAAGCACGGAGATCAGGGATATTTCGTATCTCGGGGCAGTTCATTCCAAAGGGTTGGAGCCCTCACAGAGAAGGCCCTCCCCCTGGGAGTCCCCAGTCGGCATAATTTGACTGACGGTACCCTGAGTAGTCCCTCCCTGTGAGAACGAACTGGTCGGTGGGAGGCTATTGGTGGCAAAAGACGGTCTCGTAGGTACCCAGGTCCTAAGCCATGGAGCGCTTTAAAGGTGCTAACTAACACCTTGAATCGATTTATCATTGTGCTATTTTATTACATGTAGCCAAATCAAGGAATTTGTATACAAACTTGAGAAACAACTGTTTACACTTCAGCAAATCTGTATACATGGAGATATAGGCAGTACAGGTGGTTCTCTACTTATGACCACAATTGGGATTGAAATTTCCATCATACATCAGTGCAGTCGTAAAGTGAATCACCATGTGACCAAACCTGATTTTACAACTATTTTTGCCATGGTTACTAAGCAAGTCACCATGGTTGTTAAGTGAATCACATGATCAGTAGGTAAATCTATCATCTTCAATTGGCTTGTCAGAAGACATCAGGGAAGGTTGCAAATCGCAATCATGCAACCACAAAATTGTTGTGGCCCCGCCCTCTGAGCCTGTCCCATCGGAGGAAGAAAGCTTCGAGCATGAGGAAGAGGAGTCAGCCAGGCCTCCCTCTCCAGGCCCCTCCCCTCTGGCATTGTCTCAAGTGCCGGCCGAGGGAGAGGAGACAGCTGGTTCGGATCAGAGTGATGAAGAAACATCATTCCTGGACGCACGCCTCCGAAGGCATGATAAACGTTTGCAGCAGCTTAGGAGGCGTGCTAGGGATTAGAACTGAGTCACTGGACCACACCCCAGAGACTATATAATAGAGGGTGGTGGTCAAGGATCCTTGTGACGAACAAAGCAAACCTTAGATGGTCACTAAAACCTCGTCCGGAACTGCTGAGAGAAAGATTTAAAGTATCGGACATTTGGACTCTTTGTCACTGCGTTATTTTATTTACCAGCTGAGCTCATTATTTCTGGACTATCTGACTCTCCGTAGCTTTTGCCAACTTCTTATCAGTAAGCTACGTGTTTCCGCATCCACCCACATTCCTTCACTTGCTTCTTCACTCACTCTTCCCTTTGTT